CCGCTAGCTCGGCCGCCCCCAGCCAGGCGCCCTCTCCTCCTCCCCGCGCCGCCGCCCTCTCCCCGAGGCCGCCTGGTGCGCCCGAGGCAGCGGCTGTGCCTGCCCTCCTTCGTGTCTGGAGCCACGGCCTTGGCGTGACAGCCTGAAGCTTTGGTCCCTCCGGAGGCGTCTTTGGGAATCGCCAGGCTAGAGGCCTGGATTGCAGCAACGGGAGGGCTAGGGGGTGGAGGAGCTGACTAATTTTAAAATATCTTTTGGGAGAGCAAAGATCGTTTCAGTAATCTGGGGAGCAAGGCCTTGCTTGCCTCATCTGAGATTCCTAAGAGTTTAAAATTCTGTAACGCTGGGGTGCAGAGGCGAGCTAGTGGGCCAGCTGATAATCCGGAGACTACCCGTCCTGTGGGGTCTCAGTACTGCTGTTTCCATACCGCAGAGACTAGGGTCAGGACCTGGAGACCCTGAGGGCCCCGGGCCTAGGCAGGTTGAGCTCAGTGGTTTGTTGAGTGAATGAGTGCGTGCCTGGTAGGTCCCTCACTTCTGAGGACTTGGGAAGTATCCTGTGGCGCTAGCTCTTCAAAAGAATGTTCCTCTCTGGGCATGCAACAGAGCAGTCACTTACTTGGACTGGGGAGATCTAAAGGAAATCACTGTTTTAAGAGTAAAATCTCATACATTCCTGTCCCTTACTGCGTGTTGTGTCCACTGTGAAGGGTGGGGAATTAGCATTACTCACGAAGCTGTTACAGTGTTTCTGAAGTTAATGAATCTTCCCATAACCCTATGAGGACAGGCCCCTTGTTGTAAGGATGAGGAAACAGGACTGGCCAGAGGCCCGGCTGTAACAGCTTGGAGCTCAACTGGACTGTTAGATTCCAAAGTATGATGTCTTCTTACCTCACTGTGTTGAAAATCAAGTCAGTTTAGTTTTGAACCCAGAATGAAAATATGGAGGATCAACTGCGTGGGCAAGGAGGACCCTTGAGTGGACATCATGGTTTTTCAGTCAACTTTTTTTTTTTTAATTTGTTATAGTGTGCATGAGCTCGCCAGAGAGACAGAGCGAGAAAAAGTGAGAAATCATCCCGCAGATGGGATAACCATGCCACAATCCCTTGTCTTCTTGGGATTTGGGGTCCGCATGCCCATACATACACTCAGTGTGTTTTTCAAGCCATCATTCTGGGTGGGATGAATGCCACGTGGGGTCCTGGTGCCTTAACCTTCACACGACCTGACTAGCCCTCAGTTGCCTTTCCACAGTCAAGTTATCTGGGGATGTTGAGCCCAGACTGGTCAGGTGGGCGGTCCTTGTAAGAAACCTGGGTGTTTCCCATTTAAAAGAGCTCAGGACTCCTTAGCCACTTGGCAATTTGAGAACCGTCCTTGTTTTACAGCATTCAGGAGTGTTTTTGCTTTCTGGGTTTGGGGCTGTAGCAGCACCGCCTGGGGGCATGGTCCTATCAGCTCTCCTGAGGGAACTCCTCCAGGCCTGCCTCTGATCCTGGGGGAGCCCTTCCAGGGCTGACCGAGACATACTTCAGGAATTTCCGTGGCAGGGTCTTGTTCATTTTGAACTAGAGACCCCCACTTTTCATGTGAGCGCCCTGAAAAAGACAGAGGTCTTCAGCACCCAGTCCTATCCCCCTCTAGTATTAATCTTCAAATCTCGGTTCTGATCCAGTTGGGTAATTAGATCTTGCTGACCTGAAATTCCCAGAGGTACCCCTGGAAAGCGAGTCCCCCTCTCCTCCAGGACACTGGGAAGATGGGTCAGATGTTGGAGAGCAGGCCATCAGCAGTGAGCACTGCACAGGGAATGAGGTTGAGCAACCACGGAGGCCAGAATGTGTGTGAAAGCCACTTATCATATCAGGCTGATACTATTGTTTGTTAAAAAGATACATAATCTCACCATGTTGTGACATCGGCTGATAAATGCAATCCAAGAATTTGAAGACTGACCCAAGTCTTAAACCCTGTGTTTGTGTTCCATCCACAGGGACGAGGGAGGAGGAGGTTGCTCGGGTTCCCGGTGGTGCCATGCCCAACTCCACCTCACATACATATCCTCACTTGCACCAGCAGTTTGCTGACTTCTTTTTTTTTTTTTTTTTTTTTTGCTATAGGGTATGTGTGCTTGCTGAGGGAGACAGAGGCAGAGAGGAGAGGGGAGTGAGAACTACCCCTCTGCCACAGGGGATGGCCACATTACAATCCCTTCTCCATTTTCCTTGGGATATTGGGCATACACAAACACACACCTGCCACGATTTTCAAGCTGCTGGGTCCAGGACTCAAACCACAGTCAGCCATGTGGGATCCAGCTGCCTTAACCTCCACACGCTGGCACGTTTGCTCACTCACTTTAATCCGTGTCAGGAAAATTATGAGGGGAAATTGTTAGATAGCAAATGAGCACCAGTTACTTTGGAGTCTGTCTGGAGATGTCTTGGATACCATGTGAGTCATGAGAACAGAATCCTGCTGCCGCGCAAGTGTTAGGAGCTCCCAACTTCTTTGAGTTCCTCTGCTGATCTGAGTGAAGGGACAAAGGGCTTGGAATTAGATAAGCCTAATTAAAATCCCCTTTGTGCCACTCACCAGCTGTGTCACCTTGAGCACATTACTTGGCCTTTCTAAGATTCAGTGTCCTTAACTGTAGAATGGCTCTACAGATTCCCCTGGGTTTAGGGGCAGAGGGTGTGCAACTCTCTAACAGACTTTAATGAGCACATGTGTAGATAGGGCCTTGTGTTTGGGTGGAATCAAAGGGCTTTGAAGAACATTAAGGTAATAGTTTCCTAGAAAGCATGGGGTCTCTGGCAAGTGTTACAAGATCCACTGAAGCATATTAATAAAATGTAGGCCCATGATGCATCCCTAGCATAATATATATTGAACTCATGAAGTAAAACTGAAATAGAGTGGTTCTTATCTTAAAGATTTTGATCTTACAGCATTCACAATTTATTAGGCTCTTGGCCTTAAAGGGCTTCAGGGTTCACACAGAATCATAATTTATTATATAGTGACACCTGCTGGCCAAGTATAAAATTGCAGTGTAGCTCTATCAGACATTGTTAATCATAAGGGAAAAGATTTCAGAGCAAAGTTTCAGTAGCTTTAATTGAAACATTGGATGATAAACAGGCTTGGAAAGAGTTCCTATGACTTTGAGAAGAAAGTAATAAATAGAGGACAATAATTATTGTAAAGTTCTTCAAAAACACTTCCAGCGAAATAATACTGAGTCTCAGCTGTGATCTCGACGTCTACCTTAATGCTTCATCAGATGTTGGTGAGTTTTTTGGTCTACTTTTTTCTATGGAACCACTACTTGAATATTATAGTAAAGCTCCATTAAAATGATAGAAGTGAAAGCTTTCTTAGAGTATTTATTCATTTGGTCCCTCGATATTTATTTATTTATTTTTAGAGGTTTTTGCCTTGGGGCACATGTGCTCATCAGAGAGAGACAGAGACAGTGAGAGGGAAAGTGAGAAATTATTCCTCAGGGTGGATGGCCACCCCACAATCTCTTCTCCATTCTCCTGGGATTCTGAGCAGGCATGTACATGTGCCTGGCATGATTTTCAAGCTCTGTGGTCTATGTCTCTGATTTAGAGAGAGAAAACTTGTATTCTGTGGCTTCTGTCTAAACGTCTTATAAAAATTCTAGAAAAGTCATCTTTTTGTCCCAAACAACAGATTGGAAACCTCCAAAAGCCAGGGACTCTTTCTTTCTCATCCCCCACTGCAGAACTTGCTGTGTTTGGCAGATACCTTGAAAATGAGTTCAGACTCACAGGTCCAGCCTCTCTGCCCCTTCCTCGTCCCAGAGTGCTCCAGGCTCCACGAGGGTACCCACGGCCTCAGTCTTCAGCGAGCATCAATAGAGTGTGAGCTGTGTGCCCTGCCGCATGCTGGGAGCTCACGGGGACAACCTTGATTCCGTGAGGGACTAGTTCGGAGAGTGAGACTGAATTAACTACCATTCTGCCTTACTCAAAAAAAAACCACAAAAACCAAAAAACAAACCTAAAAAACCTCCAAGAGCTTGGAGCATGAGTCCTGCCACACTTCTTCACAGAGATGAACACATCCCAGCTGGGAATTTGGTGATACTGGCTCTGGGAGAGTTTTCTTCAGTGGGGTTGTCCTGAATCTTTTTTTCAAGGAATGATCAGGATGGAAAAAGAAAGAATTAAGGAGTCTAAACCCATAGAATAACCATAGGTTTTTTTTATATTTAAAACTAACATCTATTTTTTTTTTGAGAGGTTTTTGCTATAGGGCGTGTGTGCTCGCCGGACAGACAGAGAGAGACATAGAGACAGAAAGCGAGAAGTCACCTCCCAGGGGGGATGGTCATGCCGCAATCCCTTC